TATGAAAGATATTCCTCAAATTTCCTACGTGTAAAATCCTATGTTTTAACTCATTACGGATGGTCTTTCCAATGAGATCTTTTTTATGCATATGACATTAATGTTAATCAAAATTACGCACATGAAATACTTAGAACTTTTCGAGTCTCATCCAGTCATTCTAAATAATTGCCAAAATAAATTTTAGGAATTGAAATAGAAATCCTCCCCAATGGAGTCGCCAAAAACTGTAGGGAATATTTCAAGCGTTATCCCAAACTTGAACCCCATTGTGATCATACACTAAAGTACGGTGGCGTCCAAAGGGAAAGAAGATAGAGAAAAAGAGTCGCCTACAAGTTTCAGGAACTTGTAAACTGTTCACGAGGTGAAGGTTACACCCCTTAACGATCCAGGAGATCATCAACTCCAATAGGTCTGGAACCATGACTGGTAGTTCAGGGATGAAGGTACAAATCCAACCTAAAAGAGCTTGAACCTGCCCTAATAATAGGCCTCTACTTTACTCTGATCGTATTCATGTGCGCTTTCTGACTAACATGCAATCAATTGGACATTAATATTAATGCACAAACAAAACTATTATTGTTGATCACTTGAATTATGATCAAATTAACCCTAAACAAGATTATTAATTATCTTATTAAGCGTGATTACAAGTACAAATTCCCTTTAAACATGCATAAAAGGTGTGATAAAGAAATAGCAATAAATAACAAGCAACATAATAATAATCATAATAATAAAAATAATCATATACATGTTCATGTTAAAGCATAATAATAGCAAGATCCTAGGCATGATACTAACAAGATTAATAACAAACCCTAACATGTCACTAAACAATAAAAATCAAAGCTTTAACCCTAACATGATACTAACAATCATAAATATTAGGAAGAATATAAAAGGCATCATACTTTTAATCATACTTGATGTTAGCATTTTTTAGTTGTTACCCTAAACATGATACTAGGAAGATCAAAACACCCTAACATGACGCTAGGAATCATAATAACAACCTAAGCATGATTTTTACATCATAATATCAATAAAAACCGTTAAAGCACTTACTTGGATGCCTCGTACCTCTTTTTAATAACAAAATACATGCGTTAGTAACTTCAAGGAAAATAATAAACAAAGAATTAAATTAAATAATTAAAATAGAGATTTGGGACCAAACCCTCAGAAATTAAAACCTTTCACGTCTAGGACGAAGACAACTTCGTACTATGCTAGGTGTTTCTTGATCTTGTGAATGCGGAATTTTGTATAAAGGTTGGTTTAGAAAAGAGAGAGAAAAAATAAGTTTTAGCTTCAAGAGAGAAGAGAATTAGAGAATTGGTGATTGTAGATTATTGTAGTTAATTGAAAATGGAGTTTTTAGAAGGCTATTTATAGAGAAAATCAGCCAAAAAGATAGAAAAACAAATCAGAGTTTCGACGTGAAAAAACAAAGTTAGTGCCAAACGCTGACATTAGCGCCAGGCGCTAACGACTGGCGTTAGGCGCTAATCAAATATTTTACGCGTTTTCTAAATTCAAATAAAATTTAACCGTACAGAAGAATAAAATCGTATTTTCATTAAAAACATTCTTTTATTCTAATTAATTCTCTAAAAAGTCCACAAAAGTCAAATTTATCAATGCTAATAGAATTAGGAATGAAAAGAACCTTGTAGAAGAATCTAGAAAACAAAAACCATTACTAATTGCATTAGGAATGATAAATCCATATTAGGCCCCCCTCTAGATCATTGGGCCGCATATAAAGCTCAAAACGGGCCCAGTTTAGTAATTTGGCCATAACTTCCTCATTATTCATCAGAATTGGGCTTATAATATATCGTTGGAAAGCTCTTTTCAAGCCCCATCCAACTACACCATTATTGGACCCTTGATATGAACCAACAAAACTGGATTGGCTGTTTTCTTAAAATAGGTTTTCAAAAACAGAGAGAAAAGAAAAAAAAATTAAAACCATCCGCAACACTAAACTTCCCACACTTTCACTTCATTCGATTATGATTCGACGTGAAAGGTACTCATCATCGGGTTTGGTTTTGGGGAGACACAAATGGGTGTCTACAACTACAAATATGTCAGAAGTTTTCAATGGAGTCTTAAATGGGCTTGTTGTCTCCCGATAACTGCCTTAGTGCAAATGACCTTTTTTCGAGTTAACTCCTATTTTGCAACTAGACGAAGTTGGAGTAAAATAAGACTTTAAGAGGGCCATGAGTTATCAGAAAAGGCTACAAAGACAATAGAGGCCAACATGGAGAAAGCCATGCACCATGAGGTTGTTGCTTTTGACTATGATGCCATAGGGTTGTATCAAGTTAGGACAAGTCGTGGAAGGAGAAAAGCGGGTAAAGGTGGTAACTCCCACACTGTGAATTTGATGAGAAAGACATGTAGTTGTGAGAAGTTAAAAATATACAAGTTACCATGCTCTCATGTCCTAGCAGTTTGTCGGCATCGAAGCCTATCAAACTCAGATTTTATGGATTCTTTTTTTAGGAGTGCCGAATACGGACTTTCATACTCAAAGTGTTTCACACCAGTTCTTGATCCTTTCCATTGGTCCACTTACAATGGGCCTAATGTTGTTAGTTTTGAAAGTTCACGGCCCACTTGTCATTGGTCCACCGTTTGAGGAATGGCATGACCTTGTTGAGGAGTTGCTTGGAGTTCGACCTAGCGTTGATGATAAGGGTAAGCCTTTTTTAGAGGGATCTTCTTTGAAGTTGACATGGATCAGACGACACTTCTCACTGATTCCAAAGGGAGTCAATGACGTTATTGTTCAGCGACATAGTCGTGCTTACATTCTTACTCTCATGGGATCTATTCTCTCCGCGGACAAGAGAGGCGATGATGTGTCACTCTACTACTTGTCGTTACATAGAGATTGGGAGACACCTTCGACCTATAGTTGGGGGAGTGCGACTCTTGGTTTTTGTACCGTCAACTCTGTTAAGCATGTGAGAGAGGAGCGTGTTAGATTGGAGGCCCACTTATCCTAGTGCAGTTGTGGTCATGGGAGCACATTTGTATTGGACGACCCTATGTAAGGAAGCCTCGAGATCAGCCACAGGAGGACCTTCAGGAAGAGGATGATATTTTAGGGACTCAGCATGAGCAAGGTGTTGACTCCTTGGCATGCAGGTAGTGTATTGCTTACAGTTTTAGTTCTTACATTGTTGTCCCTGATTAGAACTAAGAATTATTATTAACTATTTTTACAGTTGGCTACATGTACATCTTTCGTGTGCGCATACTGCTTCTGGACTCTCATACTATCGAGGTGCGTTTGACCATCAGCAAGAGGACCAGGTATAATTGTTGTTTTTTTTTATGCATTGGTATTTGTTCATTATAATAGTTATATTAACTTATACAATTAACATACCTATTTTGGGAATTAGATGATTTGGCAGCCATATACTGTGGCGGTTATGGAGCGACTTCCAGACATTCACATTTGGTGTAAACGCGCCCCTCTTATTTGCTTTGACGTCGTTGAGTTCCACCTCCCAGAACGAGTCATGCGTCAGTTCGGTTTAGAGCAGCCGATCCTAGAGGCAGTAGTTACAAACATTGCTCTACACAAGAAGGATCGAAGAGGACAGCGTAACTGGGAGATTCGACATTCGGACCATGTACATGATTGGGATCGACGAGAGGCATTAGTAGTCCAGGGTAACCCGTTCACTGGGACTTCTTCACTAGTCATGACAGAGTACATGGCTTGGTACCATCGCATCACGAGGTAGATCATTACTCCACCTTCGTAGCCACGCCCCCCAAGTCATTACCAGCCATCTAGCTCTAACCTAGTACTTGTATGAACTTCATTTCATTTCAATTATAAAGTAGTTATTTCATTTTTGAATTCATTATACTAACAATAAAACTAACTTCAATGCAGGCACATGCAGTTGCTGATTTGCACGCGAAGCTATCGGGAGCTACTAAGACCATCTCTGATTTGCCACCACACAAGGCTCTACCATTTGTCATTCAAATGATACAGAGTCTTACATCATTTTGTGGGCAGACCTTGTCTAGGGTAGGGCATTCACATCTTATTAAGCAGCCTCTAGTGTCCACCTCACTATCTTCTTCTGCTTCTATTGTGCACACTCGGCCGATTAGACCACCATCCCATCGTGGTGGTCATTCATCATGTGCTTTTCATCCACCGACTCCCATTCTCTCTCCCTTGCATGCTCCTTCCCCCTCTCCTTTACATGGTCCTTCTCCCTCTCCTACGGTTCGACATCCAATTGTCACTTATGCTCCACTTTTTCCACCTCCCCCACCCTCTCCTCCTCCTCCTCCTCCTCCTCAAACTCTACTTGTTTCTCCTCAACATATCATCGTCACATCTCCTCCACTAGTGCAACACCAATATCAAAGAGTTCAATGGCGTGGAAATAGTAAGTCTCAGCTTGGAGTTGGAGTTGGCCTACATGATATTCCATAGGACGAGACAGCTACATCACCTTCATCATCATTTTATGGGAAGAAGCAACGTACGAGCTAGGTGTATATTTTGGTACCATTGACATATGCTATTTTGCAAATGATTAGTATTTGAGACTTTGTTTATATTTTATTATTTGATAAGTATTTGGCATTGCTCTTAGATTACCTTAATACAATTTTGACTTCCATGGATTAGAATGTTTAAGTAACTTGTTATTTGTGGTGGTTGTGTAGAAGATATGGTATATGGACTTTTCAGGCTGAATAGTAGGTTTTAAGGTTTTACAGGTACACTTGCAGGTTTTTTTTGGCTGATTTACTAATATTTTGTTTTAAAAAAAATTTACAGCAAAAGCGGTTTTCATTTTATAAACCTAAGTAGCGGTGTATGAAATTAAAATCACTACTTGAAGTAGCAGTTTATTCTCTTAACACCGCTAAATCAAGTAGTTGCTTGTTGCTGGACCGAAAAAAAAAAAAAAAAAAACCAGTTTGTTCTCATTAGCTAACGTGGACAGTCCGGTGGGAATTAAAAAAAGATTGGTTGTATTTTGAAAATTGCGTGTTTTCCCAACATTATTTGGAGAAGGAAAGGCTTGAAAATGTTACCTAATTGAGATATTTTACTGATTTATTTACAGAAATGTTATTAGACATATGATTTTTTTTTTTTTAAAGCCTCCATACGTACGTAAATGCTCCGTGATAATTAGGATTCCTTTTGTTATAGTCGGTGCTTGAGAAATTTTTTGGCATTTTACTCTGAAGACAGAGAGATTCAAGCTCCTCATAAAACTGGTAAATATGTTATTCTGCTGGTACTTTGGCTTCAATCCGAAATATTGGAACTATTTTCTTTTTTAATGTACTGAGTTTTTATCTACTTATGATTCAATCTTGATGAAATTGCATTTTATTTTTTTCATGTTTTTTTTTTTAAAGTTTAATTCTATTTTCTGGGGTAAGAAATTAAGAATTACCCGTTATTTTATGATTTTTGTCCTTTGGCAATGATCGTTGATTCCCATTTGACGAGTTTGACAGTTTATTTATGCACATCTGTTATAGAATTGTAAGCTAATCCAATTGAATCAGTTGAAAATGTTAGATGTTTTTATTGTCAATTCCATGCTCATATAAATATTAAAAGATCGATTAATGACATTTACCCCATTTTTATATATATGATTAAATGATATGATAAGCGAAAACGCAAGATTATATAGCTAACTTATAGTCACATAGCTTTATAAATATGCAAAAATGTCAAATTGATCATTTATACTCCTAATGTGTGTTAGGTACTCACATGTTCAAAATTTTGACTTAATTGGTCTTTGATGAATGTATAAATTGGTTCTTTTGTTTCAAAAGTCAGAGAAAATTTGACATTGAAGGGTAGTTTTGCGCACAGGGTTGGAAATTAGATGATTCCATAGAAAAATGCCTAAAATTGTGTTCATGTTAATGCTAATATGATCATGTATTCTGACTTCTGAGCAGAGACAGACTTGTTAATAAGTTGGAATTATACGGGGCATGATACTATGGATCGCCTAGACAATGCAGCACGCGTTATGCTAGTTTCAGATCTTGACTACACAATGGTATTGTTTCTTTTTCCTTACCTCATGAAACTAGTCCGCTTTTGGTTTCAATATCTTGTTGTTTTGTTCATCGGAGATGGTGGTATTCACAGGTTGATCATAATGATTCTGAGAATAATGCTCTCTTAAGGTTCAATGCACTGTGGGAAGCATATTTTCGCCATGATTCCCTACTGGTGTTTTCTACGGGGCGATCACCTATTAGCTACAAAGAGTTGAGGAATGAAAAACCCTTGCTTACTCCAGATATAACTGTTATGTCTGTGGGAACTGAGATTGCTTATGGGGATTCTTTCGTGCCTGATGTTGATTGGGAACAATCTCTCAATCACAAGTGGGATCGAAAGATTGTGACAGAAGAAACTGATAAGTTTTCCGAACTTGTGCTTCAGGTCTCACTTTAAGCTATTGGCAGTTATGCCAAATTTCCAATGAGATATTTCTTTTTGCAAAATAATGTAATATACGCACTTTTGGATTTCAATGGATGAGTAGATATTCATAGAGCCTATTTTCAAATGCTGAACACAGTCTGAAACTGAGCAGCGGCCTCACAAGGTTAGCTTCTTCGTGGACAAGGCCAAGGCGTCCAAAGTGATTGAGGTTCTTGAAGCACGCCTAGTAGAAAGAGGGGTAAAATTTTCTGGTATCCTTTTGCAACTCTGATACTTCAAAGAGGTTATCCCCTTCTATTTTGAACACTTGATCAGAAAAATGTTATTTCTCAGTTAGACATCAAAATTATCTATAGTGGCGGGGTTGCTCTGGATGTGTTGCCAAGAGGAGCTGGCAAAGGACAGGCTCTCTCATACCTAACGAATAAATTTGATGGTAAAACTCCTAGGAACACTCTTGTATGTGGTGATTCGGGAAATGATGCCGAGCTGTTCAGTGTTCCAGGAGTTTATGGTGTCATGGTTAGTACTTAAGTATATCCAAAACGTCGTTTGTTTTCCTGTGTATTCTTTCATTTTAGTTGATATTAATTTTTCAGTTAGCAAAGCATCTCTCATCTATTCACATGCAGGTCAGTAATGCACAAGAAGAGTTATTGCAATGGCATGCATTAAATTTGAAAAACAACCAGAATATACTTCATTCCTCTGAAAGATGTGCTGCTGGTATCATACAAGCCATTGGCCATTTTGATCTAGGGCCTTGTATATCACCAAGGGATAAGATGGACTCTTTGGAATACTCAAAGCAAAATATGAATCCGGGATTTGAAGTTGTTAATATGTATCTGGCTTGTGAGAAATGGCAACGTGGAGAAGTTGACAAGTCTGAGAAATTTATTCAGAACTTGAAGTCAAATTTTGTACGTGTGATTCTGAATATATCATCATAGAACTACATAATTAGTACTTCCTCTAGAGATGAACTTTGTTATCAATGCATACATACAAGGACATATTGTTCTCAACTTTGCAATTATAATTAGAAGGCTGAGAAAATTTTCATGTTGTATAGTTTTGGTTGAGATGCTAAAGCCACTTGTGTTTCTTTTTGTTATTTGACAACCAGCTTTCATCAGGGGTCTTTGTCCATGCTTCTGGAGTAGAGAAACCTCTCTATGACTGCTTAGATGCATTGGAGAAGTCTTATGGACATATGCAAGGTCGCCGATTTACGGTGTGGGTTGATCGAGTTTCTTCTGCTCAGATTGGTTCTGATACTTGGCTTGTGAAATTCGACAAGTGGGAATTGTCAGGTGATAAATCTCTCTCTCTTTTTCTTTCTCTCTCTCTTTTTTTTTTTTTTTTTTTTTTTTGTCGTGCTTGTAGTGATTGATAAGTTCTAATTGTTTTTGCTTAACAAACCTTCCTTATCATAAACCACAATTAAACTGCGGTTAGGATTATGTGAGATTTAAAAAATAGCTAGTATGGATTAGGTTTTATAGCATAAATCATTTCCATAGCTATATTTTTTCCTTACATGGCCTAGATTGATGAATTTGTCCCAAGAATAACACATGAAGACATACGAGAGAAGAGAGAAAAGAGGAGAGGAAATAAAAATAAAAAGGAAAAATGGAAACTTAATAATCCCACCTTTGCCACTTCTGCTCAAAACAATCCCAACTTTTCGAATTCCCAAAATAATCCCACCTTTGACCCTCATCTTTTCAAAATGAGCCTTTTAACACACAACTTGTTTAACAGGTTAACTTTTTTTTTTTTTTTTCAATCTCTCATCATCTCCCACCTTTTCAAAATGAGCCTTTTAACACACAACTTGTTTAACAGGTTAACTTTTTTTTTTTTTTTTTCAATCTCTCATCTCCCGCTTAGCTATCCGCCATAACCACCACCACATCACCACCTAACCCAACCACCTTCTTTCTCTCTCCGAATCCCCACCATCGCCGAATCCCCACCACCCACGAATCCCCACCACCCACGAATCCCCACCACCCACGAACCCCGGCCACCACAAAGTCCCACCATCCACAAATCTCGACCACCCACGAAACCCAAACCACCCCCGCCGATCTCACCCACGAAACTCACCAACCCCGAATTTTGACCAACCGACGAAACCCAAACCACCCATGAACCCCGATCTCCCACGAAACCCAAACCACCCCGAAATACCGCCGCCTACAAACCTCGACCACCCATGAACCCCGATCTCACCCACGAAACCAGGATTGGGGAGATGGGGAAAGGGGGGGGGGTGGTGAAGTGGTGTGTGATGCGGTGGACGGTGGTGGGGAGTTTTTTTTTTATTTTTTTTAAAAAAAAAATTGCAAAAATTAAAAGGAAAAATTACTCCCATTAATCTGAACTTTGCCTCGTCCGTCCAAATTAATCCCAACTTTCGTTTATTATCTATCACTCCCAACTTTAGGGGGTATTAATTTCTATTGCACCCAACAGGTAATCTAACCTGATATTGCAGGTTACCTAGACACGTGTCCACACGTGATAGGTCTAAAAAAATACAAAAAAAAAAAAAAAACTAAAACCAAAATACCAGCCACCCTATCCCTACCCCCTAACCCACCGGAACCCTAACCCCAGCCTCCAAACTCGCCGGAAACCGGTCCACCAACCCCCCTAAACCACTGAAAACAGCCGGCCGTTTTCGCCCCCTTTAGCCCCGCAGCACCACGACAAACACAACGCACCAGCCAAGCACCACCACACAACCGCAGCACCACGACCACGCATCTCACTTGCCCAGTTCCCCCGCCGTTTTCACCCTCTTTACCATCGTTTTCTCCCCTTCCCTGCCGGATTTCGCCTACCCATCCCTTTCCCCGTCGAATTTCACCCCCTTTTCGTTCCCCGATTTATTTTCCCCTGTTTTGGTGCGAGGAAGGAGAAACATGGGGTTGTGGTTGTGGTCGTGGAGAGTGAAGGAGAATAGGAGGGTGGGTGGTAGCTGTGGCGCCGACACCAGGGCAGGAAAGGGGGGTTCTGGGCGGTGGTCGGTGCTCTGGGGGAAGGTGTTTGTGGCTGTGGGTGGGTGGGGCGGGTTGTTGCTGTCGTGGGGAAGGTTTTGGTTTTTTTTTTTTTTAATTTTAACCAATCATTATGTGACACGTGTGCAACTAATCACAAGTCAGCAAAATTTACCTCTTCAACCGGTTTCAAGTCATTTGGGTGCAATATAAATTAATACCCCCTAAAGTTGGGAGTGATAGATAATAAACGAAAGTTGGGATTAATTTAGGCGGACGAGACAAAGTTCAGATTAATGGGAGCAATTTTTCCAAATTAAAATTGTACCAATCAGAAGGTGACACGTGGCAAGTCACCTTCTAAAATAAGTTACCAATTTTACAAACCGGTAAAAGGCTCATTTTGAGAAGATGGGGGTCAAAGGTGGGATTATTTTGGGAATTCGAAAAGGTGGGATTGTTTTGAGCAGAAGTGGCAAAGGTGGGATTATTAGTTTCCATTTTTCCAAATAAAAATAAAAATAAGAAGGAAAAAAGTAGAACAAATTAGTAAAATACTATTAGAGATGGCCAGGTTACTGCAAATGGGGGTATGTTGAAATTCATGGGAAGTATAATTTTTGGTAGTTGTTTGGTTAGCACTAAGTAAAAGAAATGGAAGAAATAGATAATTCTAGGAAAATTGATTTCCCGCAAAACATGAGAAGTTACTTACCTAACATCCCCTTAGTCAACAGAAATTTCTGGGAATTCATTTACCTAACATCCCCTTGGTAAATAGAAATGGGAGATTCCTTTGGTGCCAACCAAACAAATTATGGCCATTTCCTGGGAAGTACATAATGGAAATTACTTCCCATAAAATAAAAATTCCCACGGGAATTTAATTCCCTTGTGAACCAAACAAGCCCAAAGTATAATAAAGATTTCTGTATGTTACTGAGTTAACAGCAATGTATAAATTGTTTTCTGTCTTTCCATTGTCATTTTCTCAGAACTTTAAGATGCGCTTTTTGCTGGAAAAAATTTAGGAAGTTCCCAAACCAACAAGGGGTTATTTAATGAGCTTGATCAGGCTGGTTATTTTGGGGTTCTATTGCAGAAGGGATGGTCAACTCATTAATTTAGAGGGTAGATATTTACATAATCTGCTATGTTATACTACTCTAGGATAAAATTTACCAGACAGGTTAATAATTTACCTTTACTGTCTTCTGATTGCATCATACCTGGCAAGATAACTCTCGAGTTAGCTAAGTTTAACAGTCAAAACTCAACCCAAAATCACTCGACTCAACTCAAATTTGAGTGTATCTCTAACATGTGAAAATGCACTCGGAGAGTGTGCAGGAAGACATTGTTAGTTGGATGTTAATTTTTTTACAAGTACTCCAAATTGTTTTGCTGTTTTGATATTTAACTTTAAGCACTTATTCAGGTTAGGGAAATCATCAAATCAATTTGACTAAAGCTTTTCTTCTGTCAAATTGGACCATGAGTTGAATTTGAGCATATTGAACTTGACTCAAGTTGATCCCTAGCTCATAGAATCAGTCATATTGTCCTCAAATGAGCAGCAGTAGGACCATTTCATTTACTGCATTCTGATTATTTCGTTTTTTAGGTCCTTGTTAGCCAGGGAAGCTTTGGTGTATTGTAATATATAGATTGCAACTACTGTCTTCTTCATTTGATCTCTTCAAATATGATTAAGATTCATCACTCTGTCCGTTTTCTTTGCTTTTCTGGTGGTCCTACCTTGTCTCAGTGCTGATCGAACAGTAAGGACTTCAATTTGCTCTTTCAGATGTAGAAGCTTCAGATACTGAACTTTTACAGGTTATCTGCAGTTCTCGTAACCATTTAATAGCTCACAAGCACTTATTGCAGAAGTCTGTAGCAGGCAGGCCTTGCTTTTCACCTCAGTAACATTAAATAATATATATATCTTAGAACATTCAGCAACTCAACTCTGCCAATGGATACAGGGTCTTTCCATTGGATATGTTGATGGCCCAAATACATTGAATTATAGCTTTCATTTAAAGGGTCAAAGCCTCATATCAAATCTTTATCATCCTTGAATTGTGTCGTGTACTTCTATCTTTACAGTTTAACAAATCAACTCACATTTTATCTGCAAGAAACATTATATGCCACAGTTGGTTTTCATGCAATTCTCTCCACTCAAATTCTTTTTGGATTGAAATCTTTTATCTAATCGGATTCAATGATCACTTATCATCTTGCTTTGCTGGAGGGGATTTGGTTCTCAATGCCGATAATTTTTATTACTAGAGTATGATTTTGGGAAGAGAATATCTGAACCAATGTTGAATTCTTTTATCGTATATTCCATCCATATTATGACATGGACTCTGATATATTTTTAAATATTCATGGGTTCTGAGTAATCCATTTTCCTCTCAATGTAGTTTGTGATATCATACTGTAGTATGTTTGTCTTGCTGTTGAAATAACCAGAATCTTTGCTGTCTTGATAAATTTTGCTATGGTGTGTCTAGGTAAGGAGTGCCGTTGCTGTTTAACAACAGTTTTACTGAACTTAAAGGTATCATTTCAAAAAAGTTTTGATCAGCTAAATCCTTAGATTCAAAAAAGACTCAGCTTGACAGTCGTGCTGATATAAGTTGTGCATGAATTTCAGCCCAAAGGATTCACTTGGATGCATGTACACCAGACATGGATGAACGGAAGCACGTTAGAAACTGAAAGGGTGTGGCTGTTCTAGAACCTTGACTAAGAAGGTCGAAGTATACCTAAAAGAAGGAATGACAATTACTATTGGAGGTTGTTCGTTCATGGGTAGAACCGTAGAAGTGCTAAATATCTGGGGAAAATAACTAACTTCTCCTTGCTTCTCTTCCAGGAATGGATATGGAGTTATAAGTTTCATAAAACCATGTAAGTTACAGATACAATGGTGCTGATAAGGGAGACAAATTAAACGTCCCTGTACACTGCTTGCTGTTATAGATAAAGGGTTTGGTTAGAGCAGTGTATGCATTTTTAATCACATGAATGCAATTTATACACAATGGTCATTTTTTTAAAATTGTCATGGTTGAAGACTTGGAGGTTTATTGAACTTTGTCTAGTAAAGCCAGGTTTTGTATTAGATGGCCTCACAATAATTTATTCTGAGATAACAGTGAATTCTGAACATGTCTAGAGGGGTATTTTAGGTTTGCGACAATTTAGCATAAAGTAAGATTTGTACATTTTGACAAAAATTGAATTACATTATTACAACTTGTCATTTTGTTGAAGACTTGCTCTTGAAGTGATGGTGTGAATCTAACTCCCAACTTTTCTTCAAAAAGAACAAGAAGAAAAGCAAACAAATAAACAAATTTATGCCCAATCACTAGACCCAACAAATCGGGTCATCATTTGGGTCGGGTCATTTTGAAACGCGTTCGGGTCAGATCCTTTCGGGTTTCAGGTCATTCAAAAATCGGGTTAAGTCGGGTATCAGGTCAAGTTCGTGTCATGTCATTTTGATTGGGTCACTTCGAGTCGAATCAAATTTGGGTTAACATATTGCGTCATTTTAATAAGCTAAAGTTCGGATCGTTAGAACTTGTTTTAACAAGGCTTTTCACTTCAAGCCAAGTTTAATCTTGAAGTTAAACTTGATAATATTAGTATAAACCTAGCCGAACTATGTTCAGTTTAGCTTACTTTGTAGCTAGTCTTTTGTAAATATACTCGTACCTACTACTCTACTACTCAATAATATCATTTATATGTCTACGGGACTACAAAGACAACAACTAACCTAATACGAAGTATAACAAATCTATAATACTTGCTTGTAGGATATAAGGTCATTGTCGCATATTATGTATATTTATAAAATAAAAAATTCGAATTTAATCATATCTAATGATCTAGTGCCCCTAAAATTGTTGCACACTATCTTATTTTTGGTTTGAGGCTACCCATAAAACACTAATTGCACGTCGAACCGGATTATTATCTTGGTTAAAGATATTAACATGATGGGAAAAATAATCTTCAATCAAGACATTTATATCGCGCCACCAAAAACCCATTCCACTAGTGTTTCCTACACTGCTAATACATAAACCTGTCACAAAACTACAATTATATTGTATCTTTTCCAATCTATTTGCATTTATGATCGTCTCCATAAAGAAAACGATGTGTGGCCTCTCTCTCCAACACCAATTCCGAAGAGCGTTAATTATTGTCAACGAGTTTCCACGCCCTTGACAGTTTCAACTAAAAATTTCATGGCTTTTCGAGGGATTGGACAAAACCAACACCTTCTACTTGAATTAAACCATCACCATCAACATTATTGTTAAAAGACTTCAACTTCTTTGCAAAGTTTATTTTACTTTCCTAACAAAACACAAAACAACGTGAGACCTCTTACAAACCCCAAATATTTCAGAGTTACTAAGACCTACGTCTTCCATGCGTAAAACGCCAACCCAAGCCCTTATTAACCTCCTTCACGATCAACCCTTTGCTAAGACCTCCTTCAGATCATGAGCTAGCTGCTTTTGTATGCTCCTTGTCTTGCAAGCAACATTAATGTTCAGTGATACAAGCCTGAGCATGAGTCTGGATGAATTGGGCACTGTTACATTGAATGAAGATGAGGAAAAGGGAGGAGATGAGTTGGCAGTTATGTTGACAGTTGGCAAAAGTTGTTGAGAAGGAATAATCAAGTTCTCTGTATTTAGGAAAGAATCTTTCTGTTATGCCATTTTCTATTATTCATTTTCTGTTATTTGAATTATTAGTGTAAGGCTATATAAGCCATCATCATGATGTAAGAACTTTTCATGATTAATGAAATTACTCTCCTTTTCTCTCTAAAATCTCATTTTCTCTGTTCTATTGTTATCATTGTTTCATTGGTTCACCTCTCGAGAATTCCTTTCTTTCTCGGATTTTCTCTGAGCAAGCAATCCAACTCTTGCTCTCATTCAGAGCTGAGTTTGGGCTAGCTTAATTGTCCTGGTCGCATCATTGGTATCAGAGCCATACGCTCCTTGGATATTCAATGCCACCACGAAAGAACTCCGATCATAACACTGATGACACGGAGGCGATGACAGCTGCTGATCTTCAGAAGCTGGAATCCTCACTCAGATCTCTTCTGGATGAGCAATGTAAGACCCTGAACGAAACTAATAGCACTAATAATCTGAATATCAGTCAAAATACCAAATCTATTTATGAATTGCATGATTTGATGGTGGGTTTGTCTGTACAAGTTACTAAATTAATTTATGATGTTAACTCACCCATTAAAACTCCTGTGAAAACCCTTGACACTTCTGAACCAGGACAGAAAAATTACTCTCAATATTCTTCTAGACTCACAAAAATTAATTTCCCTAAATTTGATGGTGATGATCTTAAGTCATGGTTATATAAGTGCAATCAGTTTTTTGATCTTGATGGTATATCTGATGAAAATAAGATTTCTCTTGCTGTTATACACTTAGAAGGCAGAGCCCTGTTATGGCATCAAAATTTTATGAAAAATACACCACAATGTAGCTGGACTGAGTATGTGGCTGGTATAACTGCTAGATTTGGGGAAATCTATGATGATCCTATAGCTGGTCTAAAAGCTCTTAAGCAAACTGGGACTATTCAAGAGTACCATGATGCTTTTGATGCTTTAGCTAGCAGATTGAATCTCTCTCAAGAATACTTAATCAGTTGCTATATTGGTGGATTGGAGGAAGAGATTCAGCTGGCTGTGAGAATGTTCTCTCCAACCACAATACAACAATCTCATTGTCTAGCTAAGCTACAGGAAGCAGCCCATAAAGCTAGAAAACCAAGACCTCAAACCAAACCTCTTTTACCTACTCCCCCTAGACCCTTCCTATCCACCCAAGGATCCCCTTCCACTTGGAGAGGGACCAATTCCACTTATAATAAACCAAACACGAACCAGCTAAACACAAAACCAAACACAACCAGACAAACCTTAACAGCTGCGGAAATGAATGAGAAAAGAGCCAAGGGCCTTTGTTTTTGGTGTAATGAGAAATATGAATTTGGCCATCAATGTAAGGGAAAGAAACCCCAATTCTATCACATAGAAGTAGGGGATGATTCTGATGAGGAGGGGGAGCACAATGAGAATGAGAATGAGATGGATGCTGAGGCTGAATGTGCTCAAATCTCTTTACAGGCTCTAGATGGCAACACCACTTTTCATACCATGAGAATGATGGGGCAGTTTGGAAGGAAATCTCTTCATATTCTCTTGGATAGTGGCAGCACTCATAATTTCATAGACACCTCTACTGCTCTCAAATCACAGTGTAAGGTGGAGAACATGCCACCTAGATGGGTGAAAGTAGCTGATGGGGGCAGGATTAAGTGTGATGCCATGATTAAAGGGTTTACATGGAAAATGCAGGGTTACACTTTCACTGCAGATTTGTTACTGCTACCCTTGAGTGGTAGCAACATGGTATTGGGAATCCAATGGTTTTCTACCTTGGGTCCAATATTATGGGATTTTAAGAATCTCACAATGGAATTTAAGCTGAATCAAAAGAAGGTGAAGCTTAGGGGTGCAACAAACAAGAAATTGAAGGGCATACAGGCTGACCAACTCTCTAAGTTGCTGCAAAGGGAGAGTGAGCTGTCCATGATGCAGTTAGTAACTGAAGATTCAGATCTCATATTACATTCTGAGATTGAGGAAGGGGCATACAGTCAGCCAGAGCAAGATGCTTTGCAGTCTCTTTTGGGTAGATTCCCAGAAGTATTTGTTGCACCTGCTGGGTTACCACCTAGTAGGGAAAGATTCGACCACCAGATACCACTCAGGGAGGGAACTGATGCTATTAATATCAGACCCTATAGGTATCCAGCAACTCAGAAATTAGATTACAATGTGTTTTATGCTTTATTTATTTATGATATATTATGTGTGGACTAACATAAAGGTTTGTTTTGGGAACGGTTTTTTTAATAGGGGCCTTTAATGGTTCCAAGTTGTAGTTTGATTTTATTTGACTTGTTCGTTTGGTTTTAAATTTTATTTTCGTTTGGTTTTAAACTTTATTTTCGTTTGGTTGACTTTGGGTTGACTTGTTTAATCGGTTTTTAATTTTGAGTCTTCCGCTGTGTATCTTTGATAATTGCCTTAGCCGTTTTCACGGTGACGGTAATGTCTTAGTTATTCCTAATCGTATTTTTAAAAGAGTAGAATGGGTATTTAAAGGAAAGGAATTTCTAGGGTGTTACAATGGCCCAAATCCCGAGAGATATCCCTAAAAGCCGTAAAACGACGCCCCCATGTCGCACGTGGCATCGTGTGATTGCGCAGCCAATCACGTCACGTAATTTTAGGGTACAAACCCTAAAAAGGGCACAAGTTCCCACCCCTATAAATACCCCAATCATTTATGATGGGAGGGGTGGATGATGACATTACAAGAAAAAGAGCATTAATAGCTCCAACTTCTCTCTACTTTCTCTCTCTAGCCCTTTCCGTTTCCGATCACTAACTTGATCGTCGGAGGCGAATATTCCGACAAAGGAATATTCGTTGTTTTGCAGGTGTCTTAGTCTCGTTGCCAGAAGAACGCGACCAATATCCGAGGAAATCCAAAAAACACCCGAAACATTTGGCGTTGTCAATGGGGATACTTGTCCGTTATGGCAATAGATGGTCAGACACCTAATCCAGGCGAGGACGGACATGTAGAGGATATAATCCCTACAATCCATACCAGCGATCCGCTGATCGCCACATTTCAAGAGGCTGATGACCCTCCTGTTACTGCAACCTCTCTGAAAGCCGCACTCAACAAGCTCCGAAAGGAGTTTGAGAGCAATAGAGCCTCTACCTCTAGGCAGCCGCCTAGGAAAGAGGGGGAACACCCCATTTCTCCGAACGAACAAGGCAACCAACACAACAGATGCTAGGAACACCCTATTTCGCCGAACGAGTGGTAGGTCTCCAAGGGTGTTGTAGACGAATTTCTCTGATCTGCTGACGAAAATCCAATTGGCTGGGGGGAGAGGTAGGCGGCCACAAAGAGAGGAGCCTGAGCCGTCTAGAAGATTGAAGGATGAAAGGGATAATCTCCGGCATAAGCAGCGCGAACGTGCCGCATACTCAGACACGGCCTCAACCCCCACTATGCCGGACGAATTTTCCAACTACTCTTTATTCTCAGCATAGCAACACAGCCATCTCCAGTCGGAGTCAAGCTGTGCGTACTCCAACCCTTGTTCCAGTACAACCGCCGCAGTATACGCCCCCTCAGGGTCTTAACGGCATTGTGCAGCCAAGCCCCCAGGTTTTCGGACAATATGGGTCGTTCGCTCAGACGTCCGGTCAGACTCCTTATATGGCCGGACAGCCTGTGCAGCCCTAGCCAATTGATTGGCAGATGTGGTTGTTGAATCTTGGGGATAAGCCGCCTCCGTTTTCGCAAGATATTTTAACTGCCCCTCAGCCACCAAAGGTGAAGAGTGTACTCCTGGGAGCCTATGATGGCACGACAACCCAGAAGAACACATCACCTCGTACAGGAACCTGATGTACTTGCAAAGTGTAGATGATGCTACCTGGTGCAAATTCTTTCCGGCCACTTTAAAGGGTGTGGCAAAGGATTGGTTCAATAGCCTCCCGGCTGGATGTATCAATTGCTTTACTACTCTTAGTTTGCTGTTTGTGGGAAATTTTTCATACAACATACCGCCTCGAAAGACCAGTCTTAATTTGGCAACTATTGTTCAAGGAAAGAATGAGGGCCTACGGTCGTACGTCCAGCGATTTAACCAAGAAAAAGCCCAAATTCATAATATGCCGGATGAAATGGCTTACTCTGAATTTCTCCGGGGATTAAGGCATAATGGTTTTAAATTTGACTTGGTAAGAAAAAAGATTCAGACATACGCAGGTGTTTTGCGGGAAGCCGAAGCTTATATTGAGGTGGCGGACTTTTATTCGCTCACAAAATCAGAAGCGCCGGCCAAGGGGGCTGAGAAGAAACAATCTTCTCAGCAAGACTCGGCCGGCCAAAAGAAAAAAGGAAAAAAGAGAAAAGAAGTATGGGTGTCCGACGGTCAGCCACAGAAATCCAAGAAGGTCAAGGCGTACGAGCCCTAGTATGAGTTCAACAAGGACTGTTATTCCTTCCTGATGGAAATCAAAGATAAGTTTGAGTTTGAAAATCCCCAGCCACTGAGAGGCCCGGCTTAGTACAGGAACAAGCTAAGAACAAGTATTGTCATTACCACAAGGACGTGGGACATGACACGAACGATTGTATCAATTTGAAGAGATTGTTGGACAAGCTAGCTGAGAAAGGCATGCTGAACTCTTATGTGATGAAGTCCAAATTCACTTACACACGGACAGACAACACGTCCGAGAAGAGACTGAAAAATGATAAGAGCAAAGACAAGGAAGATGATGGGAATAACACTGATTCAGGCTTTTTGGTCGTGATATCAGGAGGTTTCGCCTCAGGCGGCCTAACCATGAAAGGGATCAAGCAAGACGCCTGGAACTTGGGAAAGGTGATGCAAACGGATGCAGTAAAGGCCGAACCCTTTCCCAAAGTAATCATCAGCGAGACTAACCGGTGGGATGTCAAAGCCCTGCATAATGATCCCATGGTATTCATTATGAAGATAGCCAATTTGAAGGTTGGACGAATATTGATTGATACGAGTAGCTCGGCCGACATCATTAGCCTGGCCGCTTTGAAGAATCTAAGCTTCCTAGAGGATGCTCTTCAAGACATCACTAACCCGTTGGTAGGATTTTGGGGGAATATTATCCACCCGGTTGGGCGAATAGACCTACCCATCCGCTATGGGCAACAAAGGGAAGGAAGAGATATGGTTGTCCGCTTCTTGGTTGTAAAAGAACTGACTGGATATAACGTCATACTCGGCCGTCCTACACTGAATGCAGCCAAAGCAGTCATTGTACCTCATCTAATGTTGCTAAAGTTCGAGAGGACGGACAGAAAAATTGGGACAATCCAAGGAAGTCAGAAAATGGCTAAGGAATGTAATCAGTTGACCGTTAAGCCTACAACACGTGGACCAAAATTGTCCGAGCCAAAAGAATAAGGAACCTCACTCTCAGCATACCAGGTCAGCCAGAAGCGTAAGGCGGCCAAGATAGAGCAAGCATAGCAGCTAATGACTGTCCGTCAGCCAGAAGAGTTAAGGCCCCAGCCGGCTGGCAGTCACCAAGATATAGTGCTTGACCCCGATCAACAAGGTCGGACGGTTAGTGTAGGCACGTACTATAGCTTTGGGTATGCTTGGGGATGACTTAGTTCAACTGCTGAAAGAATTCAAATATTTATTTGCATTCAACGTTGGTGAGATGCCAAGAATAAGTCCTGACCTGGCCGTGCATTAGCTGGCTGTGAACCCAACCGTTAAACCTGTCCGCCAGAAGAAGAGAAATCATGGAGAAGAGAGGAATCAGGCGGCCGCAGCTGAGGTAAAAAAGCTGCTGGACGCCGATTTCATTCGACAATGTTATTACCCAAACTGGGTAGCCAATGTAGTTCTCGTGAAAAAGCCGAATGGAACTCGGAGAATGTGTGTGGATTACACCAATCTGAACAAGGTATGCCCTAAGGAAAGCTTTCCCTTACCCAAAATCGACCGCCTGGTTGATTCAACGGTCGGGCATGCCCTGATGAGTTTCATGGACGCATACTCTGGATTCCATCAAATTCCCTTATGGGAAGAAGATCAAGAGAAAACAGCGTTCGTAACTGATCAGGGGTTGTACTGTTACAAAGTTATGTCATTCGGCCTCAAGAATGCCCCTGCTACCTTCTAGCGACTTGTTAATACAGTCTTTAGTGATCAGCTCGACCGGAATATGGAGGCGTACATCGATGACATGATTGTCAAGTCAAAAAAGCCGGCCGACCATCTGAAGGATCTACGATAAACTTTTACTGAACTCAGGCGGCATAAGATGATGTTAAATCCAAAGAAATGTGTCTTTGGTGTTGAGTCCGGTAAATTTCTCGGATTTTTTATTGATCAACGTGGAATTGAGGCCAACCCTGAAAAGATTCAAGTTGTCCTGGACATGAAGTCACCAAGGACGATCAAGGAAGTGCAAAGGTTGACCGGCTGCTTAGCAGCACTTGGTAGATTTTTGTCAAGGTCAGGGGATAAGTGTCGTTATTTATTTCAAACTATCAAGAAGAAATCCATGTTCGAGTGGACAGAGTAGGCCGAGGAGGCATTCGTACAGCAAAAAAGCCATCTGCATACGTTGCCTCGGCTCGTCAGTCCACTCAAGAATGAGAAGTTATTCATCTATCTCGCCATCTCTGAACACTCTCTAAGTGTCGTCCTGCTTGCTGAAAGGGACGACCATCAGATCCCAGTCTATATTATCAGTCATGTACTTCACAACGCCGAGCTAAGGTACCCCCCTATTGAAAAATTTGGCCTAGCATTATAGATGTCATCAAAGAATCTGCGGTTGTACTTCTTAGCACATTCAATTGTGGTCTACACTGATCAACCTCTGAAGAATCCATTCACAACCTTAGAGGCCAGTGGTCGTATGCTTAAGTGGGCCTTGGAAATGAGAGGCTTTGACATTACGATTGAGCCAAGAAAGGCAATCAAGGGACAGGCCTTTGCTAATTTTTTAGCTGAGATGACTCGGCCTGATCTTCAGCCGGCCGGAGATCAGATCTGGAAGGTGTTTGTTGATGGTATGCAACGGCGACCGGATGTGGTGCTGTAGACACCTAAAAATGTCTCCCCAAAACCAAACCCGATGATGAACAACTTTTCACCGCCATTATTGGTCGGGTTGAGTATTTAATCTTGTAGTGCTTAAATCCATATTTCCATTTCATAAAACCAACCCAACTCCTATCCCATTTCCCCAAACCATAACTTATTTTCCTCTTTTCGTGCCTTTAAACCCAAAATAATTCATTTCGTGTCCTTTAAAATCATTCATTTAGTGTCCTTTTTATAAAAATGTTTAATCTAGTTTATTTTGGTCCATAATCTGGGTCCAGTGATTGAATAGTTGGATGGGGCTTTAAAAGAGCTTTCCAATGATATATTATAAGCCCAAAAGTTATAACGAATAAGTTATGGCCAAAATATTAAACTGAACCCAAACCAAACCTAAGCCCGCCTTACCTACGACCCAATGATCATGTGGAGGGTCCAAACGATTTAATAAAATTCCTAAACCAATTAGGATTAATTAGAAACTTCTATAAGTTACTAAAACATCCTAATTATCCTTTTTGAAAAGATAAGATTAAAGAGTTTGAAATTGAATAAAACTCCTTTTTTAAAAGTTCTAATTTTATTCGAATTGAAAGACATTCAAAGATAGACAGATATTATTTTCGTGCCCCATAGTCTTTATCCAAATTTTATATGGTTGGATAGCCCTTGAAATTATTTTTCCAATGATATATTATAATATCAATTCCGAGCTATAACGGAAAAGATATGAACAAAATATCAAACTCTATCCAAAACTAACACCGTCTGCATCCAGCTTGGTTAATGAGTGCATCTCACAGAAGACCGCAAAGTCCGGCTTAAAGCCTTTGCAGATGCACGTCACCAAATACCCAAATATGTTCAACCAGTTGTTTGACATCAGCTGGAAGAGAGCGATGTCATATTCGTCCAAAATAGTGTGGACGAAGGCATGGAGAGGGAAGCGCAGTCCAACGTCCAAGGCCGCCCTATAAACGCTGAAGGCCCTTTGGCGCGGCCTCTCTTCCTCCCAAGCGGCCACAACATGTGACTTCCTTGGAGGTTGGATCTCAAATCCTTCCCCAAGGTGGAGGAATGTCTTGTATGTTTCAAACTTGTCATTTAGGTAGCCCAAGGCCGTGCTACCCACCGTACAGGCGTACGGATCTTTAAAGTTGTCAATATTGGCGATGTCCTCTTCGGCCGCCGCCTCAACCTCGGCCGCTTTCTCAACCTCTTCCTCTTCATCTTCTTGAGGGGCATTCCCAAACTCAGAGGACAACACCCTATCTAGATCGGCTGCCTCTACTGAGCTGCGACCCCTAGAACTACGACCGCCCTGGTTGAGGGAACGTCTTCAGGAATTAATGGGCTTTTGCCCTTGTCTTTGGCAGTGGCCGCCTGACTTCCTGTAGGAGGGGCACTGCGAGGAGGCAGGTCGGACGGTTCATTAATCGAAATCCCAGTCCTTGGCATGTCCGACCTGCCATATCGGAGATAGAGTTCAGAAGGGGTTGGGACGGACGGATCAGCGTCCGCCTGTGAAGAGGAAGGAGGTCCTTCACGAAGTAGCAACTCTGCCTCATCCATGACCGATTTGGCATATTGGGGAAACATTAATCCCGGAGTTCGCCCGGACGTTCCCACCACGGTAGAAGCGCCCTGAGTTCTTTGGCGCTCCTCGAAGGAAAAAGTAACCTCCACGGCCGAATGATGGGTGCCCGTGTAGGCGGTTGTCCGGGTAGTGGATCTGGTCTCAATGTCAGTATTATTTGGGTCATAGGGGACCCTAGGATTCACCAGAGTGTCGTCCGGATTTCTGGCTGTGTGACGATCATGCGTCTGCATGGTTCTCGCCATGTTCGATTGCAGGGACAGAGAAGAATAGGTGGAGGTGAGTTGGTACGCACTAGAAATGGACCCACTCCATGAAGGAGACAACTCGTCTTCGTCCACTCTAGACTCCTCAGTCCCAGGCGAACGGTCGGCCCCATGAGGAGAAACGGACGAAGCCGAGTGTTGAGCCAGTTTTAAAAAAATGTATATTAATAATACAAGGAAAAGAAAGCGGGCGGCCTACCTCTGTACGTGTTGAAAGTTTGAAAAGTTCTTGAAAGATTGACCGGAAAACTCAAAAAGTCTCCTGGAAACTCAAACTATGCAGCGGAGCTCTTGAAGATTCAAGGGAAATCACTTTCTCTCTCTAGAAATGCTCTGACTTCTCTCTAGAAAATGTAAAGTTCCAAAGTGTGAAAATGAGGTTCAACCCTTTGTGTATATAGGCAAAATTTATAGGGGTAAGATGGTAAATTCATTTTTCCCGCCCAAAAAAGTTGAATGGTTAAATTTGAAAATTTAACCTAGAATTCAAAGGGGCGAAGGATAACGCTATTAGAACAAGCGGAAAAGAAGACGACCTAATAATGGCACGTCCAAAAAATAAATAGATAAGAAGACGGAGCTAAAGCTCCCTCCTCAATGGATAGACGACCGTTTTTCCCAAAAATGAGACGGCCGCTTTTCCTAAAAATAAGACGGCCGCTATTGTCCGCTCCCTCCGCAAAGATAGGCGTTCGCTTAAAATTTTTAGGCGGACAAAAGTCGTCTGTCAAAACCCTAATGAACTCGTACACACCAAGGCTAGTAAAGGTCAGAGGAGGCGGCCTGTAAGCGTACGACACCCCCTGAGGGGCAAATGTTGAGGGTAAAAATACCTTGTATACGTAGACCAGTCCCGTAGCGACATGTGGCCTAGTGAGAGGGTGACACGTGTCACTATGGGAAGATGCCACGCATTCAGGTTAAAAGCACTCAAGAGCACTGGCCAATCCTGTAGCGACACGTGGCCCAATGAGAGGGTGACACGTGCCACTACAGGAAGATGCCACGTGTTTAGGGCATATAAAACCCCTGAAATCAGCACAAAAAGGGGCCTAATTACATCATGGCCAAATCCCGAGAGATATCCCTAAAAGCCGTAAAACGGCGCCCCCATGTCGCACGTGGCATCGCGTGATTGCGCGGCCAATCACGTCACGTAATTTTAGGGTACAAACCGTAAAAAGGGCACAAGTTCCCTCCCCTATAAATACCCCAATCATTTATGATGGGAGGGGTGGATGATGACATTACAAGAAAAAGAGCATTAATAGCTCCAACTTCTCTCTACTTTCTCTCTCTAGCCCTTTCCGTTTCCGATCACTAACTTGATCGTCGGAGGCGAATATTCTGACAAAGGAATATTCGTTGTTTTGCAGGTGTCTCAGTCTCGTTGCTAGAAGAACGCGACCAGTATCCGAGGAAATCCAAAAAACACCCGAAACAATGAGTTTGGAGAGGCACTCCCGAGATACTCT